ATGTTTCGATTAAAAAAAATTTATTTACTAATATATATTTAATAATGTTAAATTTTTTTTATCAATGAAGTAGTTAAGTCTATTAGAATAATTTGAAAATTATCATATATGATTTATATAAATGGAACTTTCAATTCAACTATTAGTTTTAAAAAATATTAATTAAAATTTGAGGTTTTAAACAAGTTCTCTTAAAAAAAAATTAAGAGGAAAATCTACAAAATAGTTTATACATATATACACACAACAAAAATTGTTTTACAATCTAAAATAGTCCAAATTATAAAACAGTAAACTCGTATACAATGTAAAATGGTCCAAACTATGAAATTGCAAACTCATATATATTATATATATGGGTGTTTATCAATTCGTTCTCTAAAAAATTAAGAAGGAAAACACCTTAAAATTGTATCGATTCAATAAAGCAATATAGAAAAAGGCCAAAATACTCTCATTTTTACTTAAAATATAGGTTATTTTAGTTATTTTCAATGAGAGTTTGTTAAAACCATGTAATTTTATGACCTCTTTCCTCCAAATTTTTAGATGCCAAGCGAACAAACATTTTTCTCATGTGTCCATATAAATGTCTCTTGCAAGTTGTCTAATGTTTTAAAACTTATTTTTTAATTAATTGTTTCAAAAATTAACTATTGGATTGAAAGTTCTATTCATATAAATCATGTATACCAAATTTTAAATTAATCTGGTAGCCTATAATACCTTGAATCCCACATTGGGATGGAAATATGAGTGTGATTGATATATAAATATGAAAACCAATCACTACTAACAACTTGAGTTTAAACTTTTGAGAGTTCATGGATCTTGACTCAAAGAGTTGTTAAGTTAGTGACGAGCTTCAACTCGGCTTGTTTCATGGCCTAATTAGTTTGTTGATTATAAAAAATTTAATATCATTACATGTATGTCAATAAATAGAGTTTCTTTAATCAAAAGTTTAACATCGTTAAACATATATAAGTAAAAAGAGTTTCTTTAATAAAAAAAGTTATAAGTGTAAGATCAATCTAAATATTGACATACATAATCTACATAAATAAAACTTTTAATCTAGAAGTTAATTTTTGAAAATATTAATTAAAAGATAGTTTTTAGACAATTCCTCAAAAAAAAATTTTTTTTTGAAGGACCTGCACTACACTATGCCTAAATAATTCATATTAATCCAACTTTCATTAAAAAATAGGAACCCAACTTAAAAAATGCTATTCTCTAATAAATATTTTAAAAAACCAACAGGTTGATTTAGTTTTCTATTTATATAAATCATGCATGTCAAACTTTTTATGAATTGAATATATCTAAAAATTCATTAATTATATAAAATTTAAAACCATTAAATATATGTTAAAAATTATATATTTTTTGATCGAATGATTATACATGTTAGATCAACTTAAAAATTGACATGCAAGATCTATGTCAATACAATACTAAATCCAACAATTGATTTCAAAAAAATTCATATGAGGTGGTATTTTTTAAGAACTCTAATTTTTTAATAGGAGACAGGCTGATATATATT